CTGTTTTTCCTGCGTCGCAGCCTCGACCGTTGGCAGAGCCATCGTATCCTCGACCAGCTGCCTGAGGCGCCCCCAGCCGATGGTGACGGCAGGCGGCAGCAGCATGTGTGGCTTCGTGCGCTTCGACTGGGACACGCCTCCTTGGCGCCTGGCCACAGAGGGGCTCTGGCCAAGCTGCAGTCCAACGGGTTCTGGTCGCCGCAGCGCCGCATGCAGGCTGGCTACGGCGGCGACGGTTCGTGCGAGTTCTGCGGGGAGGCCTGCTGCGACCTCGAGCATGAGATCTTCGGCTGCAAGGTATTGCATCAGCAGCAGGAGGACGAGGAGACGGAGCCGTACCCCGAGGAGGTGGCCAAGAGGAGGAAGGACATCCTGGAGGCAGCCCCGTGGCGCGACGGGGGCCAGGTGCAGGACTTCTCGGCCATCGACGTGCTCTACGCGCTGCCCCTGAGGCCTGTTTTCAGGCCGCTGCCTGCACGTGCTCAGGCTGAGCGCGAGTGGGGGGCGATCGACATGCCGTGGCCGTCGAAGTTGTACGGGGACGGGTCCTGTCTTGAAAGTGATTTCCCTGAGGAACGGCGCTGTGGCTGGGCCGTCGTGGCATTGACCCGAGACCTGTGGCCATGCAAAGCTTTGTTCGGGAGCCTGGGGGGCCCTATCCAGACGGTGCCCAGGGCCGAGCGCGTTGCTGGTCTCAAGGCCCTGCAGAGGGCCCAGAGGCCAGCCACGTACGTGACTGATCATTTACAGCTGCAGGTCGAGGGAATGGCCTGGGAGGGTCGTCATGCTTCTGCCAGAGCGCCTCACGCGTCCATCTGGCGGAGCATCCACGAGCTGTATAGAGGCGACCCTGTCAGGCCCGTGTTTGTTTGGACGAAGGCCCATCGGACCGTCATCGAGGGGTTTGATGCCTGCCTGGCTTCCCAGGAGCCCCTGGAGCATTTTTTCGGTAATATGTGGGCTGATGTTTTCGCCCGCGTGGCTGCGGCAGATTTCCTTGGATCCACCTCCGTGGTCAAGGCTCACAAATTTTCTCTGCTTCGGGCCCAGGACACGATGCGTTGTCTGGCCTGGGCTGCCGAGCGCGTGGCCCGCCTCTCCACCCCGATACTCCGTGCGCCTCCGAAGGCTGTCTTTCGGCCCCGCCGTCCGCGGCGGCCGACCGATCACGACTGTGTGGTCTTCGCTGGGGGAGCGATTCGCTGTCGTGCCTGCTGGAGGCTTGCAGCGACGGCTTCGTCGTTGAAGTCTCTGGCCTCCCGTGCATGCGACCCCCAGGAGGTCGGGCCAGGACACCAGGTCCAGGCCTTGGATCGAGTTTTGATCTGTGTAAAGTGCGGGGCGCACGCTGTGCGCCCCAATCGGCTGTCGGTCGGCCTGTCTCGAGCGTGCAAGAGGGCTGGGACGGGGTCGGCGGGAGCTGGGAGTGGGGGGGACGGAGCCATCGCGTCGATGCTCGAGCAGGCTCGAAGGGGCCTGCATCCCAAGACGGGCGAGCCCCTCGAGCCGCTCGTCTTCTCGGAGCTCGGGGAGCCTGCGATGCCGCAGCAGGCGCCCGAGCCCGAGGCACCTGCATAGTGGGCGGAAGTACAGGCGTGGGTTTGTCTACCCAACGGGGGGCGCGGTGCGAGTGGGGACTGCCCGGCGGTGCGCCGTTAGTGACCCTCGCACCGTTGCTCCCCGGCCCCGCGCACGGCGCGGAGAGTGCCCCTTGTTGGATGAGGGTCTCTCTCTCGTCCCTTTCCTTTTCGAGGCGTGTTCGTGATTCACCTGCACGCTTTCGGCACTGTCCTCACTGTCCTCCTCCTCCTCCTCCTCCTCTTCCTGGTCGTCCTCGTTCTCGTCCTCCTCGGTCGTCCTCCTCCTGGTGTTCTCGTCCTCCTCGTCTTTCCCCCCCCTCCTCCTCCTCCTCCTCCTCGTCCTCCTCCTCCCTCCTCCTCCTCCCCTCCTCCTCCTCCTCCTCCTCCTCCTCCTCCTGGTGTTCCTCCTCCTCCTCCTCCTCCTCCTCTTCCTGGTCGTCCTCCTCCTCCTGGTCGTCCTCCTCCTCCTGCTCGTCCTCCTCCTCCTCCTGCTCGTCCTTCTTCTCCTGCTCCTCCTGCTCCTCGTCCTGCTCCTGCTCGTCCTCGTCCTCCTGGTCTTGCTCGTCCTCCTCCTCGTCGTGCTCTTGCCCCTGCTGAAAATGTGGCCCAGGAATGGGAGTTCTGGGAAGTCGAAGAGCACGAAGTTGCCTACAGTTGGCTACGGGCATTCAAAATGTGGCCCGGGAATGGAGTTCTGGGAACTCGAAGAGCACGAAGTGGCCTACAGTTGGCTCCGGGCATTCAAAATGTGGCCCGGGAATGGAGTTCTGGGAACTCGAAGAGCACGAAGTGGCCTACAGTTGGCTCCGGGCATCCAAAATGTGGCCCGGGAATGGAATTCTGGGAACTCGAAGAGCACGAAGTGTGTGACTGTTGCATCCGGTTATTCTAAATGTGGCCCGGGAATGGCGTTCTGGGATGTCGATGAGCACGAAGTGTGTGACTGTTGCATCCGGTTATTCAGAATGTGGCCCGGGAATGGCGTTCTGGGATCTCGAAGAGCACGAAGTGTGTGACTGTTGCATCCGGGTATTGAGAATGTGGCCTGGGAATGGAGTTCTGGGAAGTCGAAGAGCACGAAGTGTGTGACTGTTGGTGAAAAACGAGCCCGGCACCTGCCGCCCGGCAACTCCCAACACCTGCCCGGACCCCCCTGTGGAGTGATCTGCTGCTCTCTTTTGATCCCACTAGAAACCTATCAGTCTTCGCTGTTAGGTAAAATGCGCAAGCAGAAACTTTCGGAGCTCCGCGCGGATTTCTTGGATCGGCGCTTGGGACCCCCTGGTGGCGCCTCCGGCACCACCCCTGGCGCGCTCCACGCACAAGGGCGAGAGGTTCAGCGCAGGTCCAAGAAATCCACGCAGATCGTCGAGAGTGTTTTATTTTTGCAGATTGTTCCGCCTCTGGGCAAGACTCTCGGCGAGGCATTTCGAACAAATCGTGTCAGAGGTTTTCCGCAGTTTTCGGCCGGGCCCATCGAAGAACAGCCCGGATGAAAGACCCGTCTTCGGAATGGATCCAGAGGGCCGGGGCTGGGGTCAAGGGAAACGGGTCCCACGAGCTTTGGAGGGTTCGATCGGCGGGGGGGACGAAGTGTGCGAGGGACAAACGCCGAGACCGGAAACGCCCAGCGCCGGTAGGAGAGGGCACTGAGGAAAGGAAGGGAGGAATGGACAGATGAAGGGGGAATCGAGGCAATGCCATCATTCATTGCACAGGGGGGGCCTTCATGGGCAGTGTAAACTGAGGTCAGCCGATGCATTCCACCCATCCTATACGTACATACTGGGCCTCCGTCCTGAAAAGAACACCCCACATCATCCCACATCATCCCACATCCATCCTCTCCTCCTTCCTCTTTCCTCATGCCTGCCTCCTACCTGCCTCCTACCTGCCTCCTGTAACTTACTGCCTCCTATCTCGCTCTCCCTGGGGGATGCTAGTTGCAATTGCCGCCACTTTCGTCAGCTCCTGGGAGGTCCAGCGGAGTGACGTCCTGCGCGGACCCAAACGGGACATCGGCTTGCCCAGGGGCTGCCAGTTGCGCAATTGTCGCCATGTTCGTCAGCTCCTGGGAGGTCCAGTCCTACGTGGACCCAGACGAGACCTCGTCCTCACGAGGGACTGCCAACTGTTCGATCGTCGCCATTTTCCAGCTGAGTGACGAGTGACGTCCTATGCGGGTTCTAGCGGGATTTCGCCCCTCCCGGGGGGACACGAACTGCGCAACTGCCGCCACTTTCGTGGGCTCCTGCTGGGCCCAGCGGAGTGATATCCTTGGCGGACCCAGACGGGACCCTCCCCGGGTGCTGCCGACTACACACTTGCCAGCCCTCGGAGGAGTCCGTCGAAGTGCGGCCGCGCAAGCAGAGCTCTGACTCGGAACCGCGGGTACCCTCGTGAGCGTGCGCCTGCGGTTCCTCCCGGTGACAGGAGCCGCAAGAAGCCCACCAACGACGAACACTGGCTGACACCCGCCTGTTGGCGGTCGCGGCCTCGGGCGCGGCGACGAGGCGGAGAGAGTGCGCCCGGGCAAACGAGAAGCGCGTGCGGCCGGCCCCATCAGGAAAGGGGGCAGAGATCCAGAGCGGACCAACCGAGCCCGCACACGCACCCACACCGGACGGATTCGCGCACTTATCAGACATTCCAAGCTACGGGATCATGAGCAGTGAGGGCGTCTCGGGCGGAACGCGAGTGCCACCCGACCGGTCAGGCTGGTGGCGCAGCAAGGGGGAGTTGTTGCAAGGAGGGGGGCCCCGAGGCAGGAGTGCGGGGGGGGGGCGCGGGGGGAGGCAGGCGCAGCACGAGGAGAAGGTGGAGGTGGATGAGCACTACAGTCGAAGCGCACACGTAGCAGGGATGATTGCCCCTTCGGCCCATCCCTGCATCCTTGGGCCCACCCTTGCCCTGTTCGGCCCACCCTTGCCCCGTTCGATGAGCGTTGGCACGGCCGTCCAGGGCCCTTGCATCCTTACCACGCATCCCTGTTATGCGCTTTGGCTGCAGGTCCCCCCCAGTGGCTCGAAAACAACCGCGCTTCGCGGGGCGCGGTCTGGGCCAGACCAGTTGCCCTTCTCGAAGGGGGCGGCGCCTTGGGCGCGAGAGCGCGAAGGTAATCGCGCGTCGTGCGTCGCGGGGCACGATGTGAGAAGCTAGGTGACCTAGGAGAAGGAGAACAGTGGCCTGTCTGGGGCGGGGAGGAAGAGGAGGAGGAGGAGGAGGAGGAGGAGGAGGAGGAGGAGGAGGAGGAGAAAAGGAGGAGGAGGAGGAGGAGGAGGAGGAGGAGGAGGAGGAGGAGGAGGGAGGAGGAGGAGGAGAAGGAGCAGAAGGAGGAGAAGGAGCAGAAGGTGGTGGACGAGAATGAGACTCGTGGCCTGCCTGGGGCGGGGGAGCGTGCGAGGGGCGCCCCGCGCGCAGGATCTCGGGCAGCAGCTCACCCTCTCCGGCAGGCGCGGGCACCGATGGGGTCAGGGCAGCGACCCTCCGTGAGCGCCACCAGCCGAAGCCCAGATCCCACGGTCTTGGCATCGCTCGGGCGTGTGCATGTTTCCTTCGGCGAGGACCATCGAGGAGCGCCCTTGATCATTCGGCGACGAAGAAACCACGCACGAAACCGACAAAAAACACAGGGTATGGACGTCCGAGCGATGGCCAGCGGTTCGGGCTCCAGCTGGCACGAGGGTTGGGAACAGACAGCCCGCGGCTGGAGCTACAGCGGGCACGAGGGCTGAGATCGGGGAACGAAGCATGACATAAACATAACACCGCGGAGGTCCGCGCGGATTTCCCGGATCGTCGCTGGATCCCCCTGGCGGCGCCTCCAGCGCCGCCTTTGGCGCGCTCCGCGCGCCAGGTCATAGCACAGTATAGCACAGTGTTCGTGTCCCTAGAAGAACAGTCAAAGCTTTGGAGGGGCGTCCTTCTGCTCTTCGCCGTGGGGCCCTCCGCCTTGGAGTGCTCTGCGTCCTCGACCTCTCCACGGGGGCCTCTGGGCTCTCGGCGAAGGGGCCCACGTTCGGCCACGCACACAGGGGGGTAGACTTAAGTCGGGCCTGTCCCTCTACAGGGGGGTGTATTCGAAAATAGTCCCAAAATAGTCTGGGCACTCCTATTTTTTGGACAATTTTGGAGCCTGTTTTGAGTATATTTTTTTCCCAACCCTCCTGCGTTGAGTTCTCGTTTTGAATACGTAGAGCACTGCTCGCGCGTCTCCTTCCCACCCCCTCCCGTCCCTCTCTTCCCCCCTGCCTTTGACCTCGCCATCCCTGGGGGGCTGCGATCTGTGAAACTGTCGCCACTTCCGAGGCCTGCTGGGGGGCCCAGCACAGTGGGTACTCACGGCAGGCTCAAATGGGACCTCGCCATCCCTGGGGGGTTGCGATCTGTGAAATTGTCGCCACTTTCGAGGGCTGCTGGGGGGCCCAGCACAGTGGGTTCTCACGGCAGACTCAAATGGGACCTCGCCATCCCTGGGGGGCTGCGATCTGTGAAATTGTCGCCACTTTCGAGGACTGCTGAGGGGCCCAGCACAGTGGGTACTCACCGCAGACTCAAATGGGACCTCGCCATCCCTGGGGGGCTGCGATCTGTGAAATTGTAGGCACTTTCGAGGCCTGCTGGGGGGCCCAGCACAGTGGGTACTCACGGCAGGCTCAAATGGGACCTCGCCATCCCTGGGGGGTTGCGATCTGTGAAACTGTCGCCACTTTCGAGGCCTGCTGGGGGGCCCAGCACAGTGGGTTCTCACGGCAGACTCAAATGGGACCTCGCCATCCCTGGGGGGCTGCGATCTGTGAAACTGTCGCCACTTTCGAGGCCTGCTGGGGGGCCCAGCACAGTGGGTTCTAACGGCAGACTCAAATTGGACTTCGCCATCCCTGGGGGGCTGCGATCTGTGAAACTGTCGCCACTTTCAAGGCCTGCTGGGGGGCCCAGCACAGTGGGTACTCACCGCAGACTCAAATTGGACCTCGCCATCCCTGGGGGGCTGCGATCTGTGAAATTGTCGCCACTTTCGAGGCCTGCTGGGGGGCCCAGCACAGTGGGTACTCACCGCGGACTCTAATGGGACCTCGCCATCCCTCGGGGGCTGCGATCTGTGAGATTGTCGCCACTTTCGAGGGCTGCTGAGGGGCCCAGCACAGTGGGTACTCACGGCAGACTCAAATGGGACCTCGCCATCCTTGGGGGGCTGCGATCTGTGAAATTGTCGCCACTTTCGAGGGCTGCTGAGGGGCCCAGCACAGTGGGTACTCACCGCAGACTCAAATGGGACCTCGCCATCCCTGGGGGGCTGCGATCTGTGAAACTGTCGCCACTTTCGAGGCCTGCTGGGGGGCCCAGCACAGTGGGTACCCACCGCAGACTCAAATTGGACCTCGCCATCCCTGGGGGGCTGCGATCTGTGAAACTGTCGCCACTTTCGAGGGCTGCTGAGGGGCCCAGCACAGTGGGTACCCACACGCAGATTCAAATTAGACCTCGCCATCCCTGGGGGGCTGCGATCTGTGAAACTGTCGCCACTTTCGAGGCCTGCTGGGGGGCCAGCACAGTGACGCCACACGCAGATTCAAATTAGACCTCGCCATCCCTGGGGGGCTGCGATCTGTGAAACTGTTGCCACTTTCGAGGCCTGCTTGCGGGGTCCAGCACAGTGACGCCTCCCAAGTAGCTTACACATCAAGTTGATTGTCCATACAAGTTTCGGCCATCTCCTCGTTTCCATTGATACAAATGTGTTGGGTACGTCACAGGGTAATTTTTGTTCGTCGAAAATCCCCCTGTAGGGGGACACCCCCGACTTAAGGGTAGAGGGTGGGGGGGGGGGAGGCTTCTCAGAAGCAGCCTACTTCAAGAAGCCTTCCCCCCCTCCCCCTACCACCCCCCATTTACGCGCGGCCAACCCGTCCTGGATCCACGTCCTCGTGACCTGCCAGGTCGCCCGAGGGGGGCACGACGATGACCGCGCCTCGCGCCTCGCGGTCTGGGCCAGGCTGGCCGCCCCTCTCCCAGGGGGGGGGCGGCGCCCGTGGGCGCGAGAGCGCGCGAAGGTCACCGCACGTCGCGCAGCGCGGGGCGCGAAGCTAGGCGATGGCGATGACCCATCGGTCGTTGAAAGCAGGTATTTTCGGAGGTTGCTACAGTGGGGGCGCGCATCAAGAAACCACATGCTTCTCGTCAGGGTATACTGGGTTTCTTCGCTCCTCGCGCTGCGCGGTGACTTCCTGCGGCCGTTGAAGGAGCTGCTGCGTTCAGGGTGCTCCGGATTTCCCTTCAGGTGCACCTCGCGCACGGGTTCTCAGGGTTGGGTTTCTTGCGAGGGTTTCTTGCGGCCGCGCCCGCACTGTAGACCGTCGCTGGATTTCTGGGATTTCGTGGAGACGGAGCAAGCGTCTTTGAGGGCCTTCTTGGAGAGGTTCGGAGAGCCGCTTTTTTTCAAGGATCTCCCACGCGAGGGTGCCGGTTTGGACTTCGGCGCCGGATTTTTTGGATTTTTTTGAAAAAGATTGGGGGTGGACAGACCTCCTACCCTGACACGTCAATTAAGGAATTGGCCGTTTTCGGCTCGCGAGAGGGCGTCGCGGCCGGCATGTTTGCGGGTCCAGGTCCGTCGGTTTCGGTCCCAGGCCGTTTTCACTAAGGGGAGGTTTTCTAAAGGGAGGTTTGTCCTCCGCCGATGTTTGAGATTCCCAGATCTCCATCTGCCTTAAGCGCCTTCCTGCTTCAATGATCGAGAAGCTTCGCCTGTTCCGTCATCCTCAGGGGTGGGCGGACACCCAATTTATTTTCAACGCCTTCCTGCTTCCTGTTTCTATCTACTTCTTCCGACCTATGGGTACGGTCGGACCGAGGTATAAGATCGAGGTCGGTTCGGGGATTGTACCCTCGTGTTCTTCCTGTGTGTTTGATGTTCTTGTGAATCTTGGGGGAGGGCACCCTCGATGGATCTTATGGTCTGGGGTGTTTTGGCCAGCGGAGGGACGAGTTCTTCAAGGATGTCAGTATGCTTTAGGTCCGACCGTAGCTCCCATCCATGAGCCAGCGGATTGCGCGTAGTTGGGGGTTCCTTTGGTGAATGGCGTGGCCTGACTTGCCGCGGGTAAGGGTTTGGGTTGGCTGGGTAACTAGAGGGGAGGTTGATGCTGGCTGTCGAAGATCCATCAGCTTGAAGCCATAGCTCAGGGGGTAGGATCTCTCTCTCTTTCATTCTCTTCGTCAAATATGTGCGTTTATGTTAGCAAGCCAGCGTGGATCCCAAACAGTGATTTGTGCGGTGCAACCAGAGTGGTGCAATCTATGTGGTGCAATCGATGTGGTGCAATCTATGTGGCGCAGAGCAGTGTAGTTCCACGCAAAGCAGTGCAGAGCAATACTACAAAGCAACGGACAGCAGCGCACAGCAGCGCGAAAAGCAGTGCCAAGCGCAACGGAGCGTGCGAGTCTCGCCAAATCGAAGTCGTGTCCAAGGATGCCGGTGGCGGCGGGCGGCGACGGGCGGCCACGAGCTGGCTGGAGCGACGTCCAGGCCCAGGTCTGTCGAAGAGAAGACACGTCCTTCGGGTGTCGGAAACAATGAAGCAACACTCATGCAGAGCATGTGGTGTGAACCTCCCCCACCTCCCCCCAGATGCAATGTTGGTTTCGGATCTTCCGATTTGGCGCCTCCGAGCGGTCTTGCGAAAACCTGCCAACTTTGAATTGCGGGGGAGGGGGGAGTGTTGCTGAATTGTTTCCCTCAACCGTTTGAGTACAAACACACGGTGCCCAGGCGAGTTGCCCTGATCGGGGATGCGGAGGAGCATGCAGTGGGATCAGGGGTCGGGGAAACCGTCATGCCCAAAGAGGGGGAGTACGGAAAGGGGAGTCGGAGGAGGAAGGGGATGGGGTGGGGGCGGGGGAGGGACGAGGAATAGGCGGATGAGGAAGAGGGTAATGAGGAGGAGGAGGAGGAAGAGGAGGAGGAAGAAGGTGAGCAGAATGGCCAGAGGCCTCTTGGATGCCTCTCGGAATCTCTTCGGATGTCCCTTGAAAGCTTCTGTTGGTTCTCCGTGAGCGTTTGGGGGGCCTCTTAGCGGTCCTGGGGGCCTCTTAGAGCGTCTTGGGTGCTTCGGGTGATCCTCTTGGAGCCTCTTGGGGGCCTTTTGGGGACCTCTTGGAGGCCTCTTGGGGCCTCCTGGAGGCCTCTCGGGGCGCTCTTGGGAGCCTCGGGGGCAATCTTGATACCATCTAGGAGGAGATCGATTAAAGAAGGGGGGGGACCATATTACAGTCCCCCCCCAGGAGGCCCAAATGGGCCCAACACTTACAAAGTCACATACATGATTCGTGCCTTCTCGCCGAGGCCGTCTTGGACGACCCAATGCGTCGCGAACCCCCCCGTCCAGGCCCGGGGGGGGGGCAGGGGGAGGGTCAAGACACGCCCTAGATAGCAAGTCGTCCAGCTCACTCC